TCTAAATATGCATTTCAAAATAAAAGACAAGATGTGTCAAATGCTCTGAAAAAAGAACAATCATTTTTCTATAAATAGATAACCTTTTGCTTCTTTTCTTTACCTCATGACTCAGTCTTAATTCATCAAAATCTAAATGTATTCAACGTTAATTAATCACACGAATTAAGTTTGTTGTTTTTTTTTTTTTATCAGAATTGAGATTGCATTGTAATATGTTTAGTGGCTATTACTCTAGACATGTTAAAATCTATTAGTGCAACTTACCTGTGCATGTACCTCGACGTAGATATTTTTTTTATGACATCAACGTTTTTTGTTGAATAAAATTAATGAAAAATGTCAACGTTTAAGGAAGCATATATTATACGCGTAGATGCATTCTAGATATCGACAATGTTTGATCAATTGAACAATCCATCGACTCAAGTTATCCCATTGAAATTGAAATAAATAGTCCATTATTTCATATTTAGATGTAAAACAATTAAACTACACAACAAACGGGATACGTTTAGTTTTTCCACCAACTTTCCTTATTTATGTAGTAATATTTCTTAGGCTGACAAATCTGACAAAAAAGTAAAACATTTTTCTTAAAAGTCAGGAATATCAAAATGTATTATTTTTCTACACTTTATACAACCACTCCTCATATTAAATTAAATACGAGACATTTTGAACTCATAGACAACTGCTTGTTCAATAAAATGGAAGAAATTTTCATATCGTTTGAATGATCGTCGACAAAATTAAAAATCACTCTGATTCTATACATAAATACTCATAGGTTATGTTAAAAGGATGCTGGAGTTCCTCCTTAATAACATCTATGTAGTTTTAGAAAACCGATAAGGTCTAATTGTGCTTTTTTATATTAGCCGACCTATTTTTATATTTCTATGAAGAATATATTCAAAAACTTCTAAATAATAAGAAAACACTTGCTGTGGCCTTCAAGTCGACATTCAGATACATCGATGACGTTTTATCAAATAAGAATAGTTAATTCCATTCATATGTCGACTTAATATATCCCAGTGAACTCGAAATAAAAGACACCACAGAGGCTGCCACGCCATTTCATATTTTGATGTATTACTGGCTATAGACGATAAGGACCAACTAACAATTTAAACTGAATGACAAACGAGATGACTTCAGCATTTCCATCGTCAACTTTCTCTATTTAGGTATGTAGCAACATTCCACTATCACCTGCTTTTGGTGTTTATGTCTCCAAGCTTATTCGCTTCGCAAGAGCATGCTCCGAGGTCAAAGTATAATCATTTTTTTAAACCGATGCAGACTACTGATATATAAGTTGGTGTTACAGGGATTTCAAGAACATCGTTTCAAGTCAGCATTTCGTAAATTCTATGGCGTTAATAATGACCTTCTTAGGAAATACAACCTGCGTCGTATTTTGACTGACAAATTGGAAGTTATTTGTTTCTATACTTAATTTGACTATGGATTAATCTGTCTACCTGATCAATACATAGGGCTCACGGCAGGCGTGACAGGTCTACAGGGAATGGTTACTTCTACAAGGCACCTGATCCCACCCCTAGAATTCCATGGGTCCTTGTATTAGACTTGTATTGTTTGAAGGTTTTTTTAGATCACTTTTTGTTATTTTCACCTATTTTATTGATACAATGCTTTCAACAGTCTCGTTTAGAGTCTGCATTTCATTTTGCAAATTTAAGGTCGTTATATGTTGATCTTAATTGCAAATTAAGCAAAGCATAAGGTCATTGTTCCTAAACTAATTTTAACAATGGATTACTCCTTTTACATGATTAATACAGACGATAAACGATTGATGCGACCGTTCGACAGAGGATGCTTACTCCTACATTGCACCAAATCCAAACTGTGGTGTTTCAATCAGTAACTTGCGGTTTTCGCGATTTAGTTTCTTTTTAGGATATTGATCAGTTAGTTATCTTCACTTCTTTTGACGACTTTTATTTTTTAAAAATATCATTTTCGTATCACAATTTAATCTATTCTAAGTATAAGTAGTTTCCGTAAGCCATATTTGACACACTTGACTTTTTTTTCTAATTAAGAGTCATAATTGTATATCAGTTTTGTTTGAAGAGGTAAAATAAGGTATCCGACCCATAATCGCCTCAGATTCAATGAAATTGAATGCCTCATAGATATGTATGGGTTGAATACTCAATATATTTAGATATAAATTTCGTATTTTGGTATCACTAAGTTAGAGAGGCGTGTGCCTTATTTATGTCCTTTTCCTGTCCTTGAAGAGTTATCCCCCTCCTTTTCCTTTAATCAATTAAAATTAATTCAAAGAAATCTATCTGATAATTTTTTTTCCAAACGTGTTTCTATTCCTAATGAATTAAATGCATCTTTCCACCACAGCATGTATTGATATTCTTAGTATTAAAAGTTTTATTTTCAAAAATTTGCTTGTCTCCATAGATTTCAATGAAATCTTCATTAATTAATTACTGCTTAAGAAATTACATTTTTTAAAAATTTCTCTTGGTAGATACTTTTCTACTCTAAAATGCTTTGAATTAATATCAGAGTATTTTATACATGATTGATATTTAAAGTAAGCAATTAGGTCCCAATATGGGTCGGATAGCACTTTCTTTAATTTAGCATTTAATTATTTGTCTATCATTTATGTCTCCAAATTTATTCGAAATGCAAGAGCATGTTTTGAATACGATCTATTTTATATGATGTTACATTGCTTTCAACTGTCTCATTTAACGTCAGCATTTCGTTTCGCAAATTCTATGGTCGTTATAATGACATTATTTGCCAATACAACCTATCGATGGGTCGTATTGTGGCTCACACGTTTCCCAATCATTGTCAGGCCAATTTATTGGTACCCTTATTGAGTACTGAGAATTTCATTTACCTGTTCAATAAATAGGGCTCATTATGGGTGTGCAAAGCTTACTCCTAAACGGCACTTTATCAAACCTTTTATGCTCTTTCGATGAGTCCGTGGTTTTGCCCTTTTCTACATTGTATTTTTTTACTGGATTGAGACTGATAACTGTTTGTTACCTTCATTTCTTTCTATTACATCAATCAGCATTGAATTCTTTAAGGTAATGCTATGTTTCAAAGTGGACTCTAAAAAAATACTAGTAATCAATCCAAGAAATATAGCACGCTGGCATTTTTCAAACTGAGACAAGGAAAGAGACGGAGAAAGAGTGATATATGAGAGTAAGAGATCTGTATTACTTTTAAGGAATGAATTTGATAGCTACCCAATTTCTAATGTATAAACTGGGTTGGGGAAGTTTACGCTTTATAAACCGAGAAGCGGTTTATAAAAAAGCGTTAACTGTTCCTACTCTGTTTATACTGTATAAATTAGGTAGCTATTAAATCCATTCCTTATAATTTAATTTTTATTCATCTAGTGTAAGAAATTAAGATGAAAATGACTTCAAATTGTACAAAAATTTAGATGTTACATCAGGCGGATTGATACGTTTTTGACGCAAGTCATTGTGACGTAGGCAACACAATTTATACGATATAAAGTTTTTTTTATCCAATCAAATGGTGCGTTATAACCAGAATTAAATTATTAATTAATGAAATGTGAAAAAAAAAACAGTTCAAGAAGTTATTAGGGCTTCTGTGCTTATATTATTTTACCCAATACTAGATTTTCCCATAAAAATGCACATATGCAACTTGAAAAATACTTTCATATTACTATTGTACACTCTTGTTAGTCGTTTGAAAATAGTGTGTCGGGGCATTTCTTTTTTTTTTTTTAAGAATAATTTTAAAGGTTACATTGACTAATTTAACTGAGATAACATGCTTAATTAATTCTCGTAAATGTACAAAACAAGTGTCCACTCGTCAGATTCGCTTACTCAGCATAAAATTGCTTTAAATGATACACTTAAAAGTGCATAAAGAACTTTAGATATAATTTTAAAAGTATGTTTATTTTTTATTCATACTACTTTGCCACTAATGATAATTACAAATGTCATCTGGCATTTAGCAAATTACTTGATATTCTTAAGCTTTTTTTAAAATTCAATTTCCAAATTAAGGTGTTAAAAAATATGGGTAAACGAATTTTTTTTAAAAAATTTTTTGGAAAGGAGACAAATATTTACGTAAACTGGATGTGTCGTAACGCCACGAATGCCCCCGCAGGCAGACAAAATTACAATTTGCAAATTGTAAATTTGTAGTCGAGATATTGATTAGAAATTGTGATTTTTTAAGTCTTTTCTACATTCAAGGGAGATAACTGTCAAAAATCAACGGACCAGGACCTGTATTTTCTGGGAAAAATACCTGTATATGCAATTTCAGCCTTATACGTGTACACACATCCCTACAAAAGTTAGAGAACGGAAACTGAAAATTTCTTAATATTTTTGCTAAGTTCAAGAGGGATAATTGTCAATAATCATCAAACCACGACTAAATTCAAATTTGACCTGTATTTCCTGGTACAATACCTGCATATGCGCTTGTCGTAATATTATAAATTTCTAATAGCCCTAATAAGTAATGCAATTCCAACCTTATAAATACATTCCTACAAAAGTAAGATAGCGGAAACTGAAAATTTCTTATTTTTTTCTAAGTTCAAGAGGGATAACACTCTGACAAAAATCATCGGACTATGATCAAATTCAAACTTGAGCTCCGTATTCCTGTGACGTATCCATATGTCAAACTTGGGTTGAATGTGTTAAAATGTTGCCAAAATAATAAACGGAAAGTCAATGATGACGGAATGACAGAATGAACAGGGTAACACTTTATGCCCCGGCCATTTTATGGCGGGGCATAAAAATTTGTCAAAATGTCCAGCTGTAGAAATTTTCAAACGATTTAAATATAAAGCACAGAACACGAATCATTACAACTATCGAGTTTGTGAATGTAAAGACATACTAAGGTATATTTTTCTCGGTGTATGAAATTATCGCTTTACATTATGACAAGTTCAGGAGTCATTTGCAGAAAATTGTTTATTGACAAGCAATTGTGAAACGTCCCTTAGGATAAGTATGCAATCTGAAGAGGTTATCTGTGCCTCATACTAATTTATGATTTCTTGGTGACAATGAAACGATATTTTATTTTTAAAATTAAGTTACAAAAGCTTACACAGGGTGAAATGTAGATACATATCTCTTTAAAAAAAGTAATTATTGGCATTCACTTTATCACTTCCTGTAACAGAATACAGATATAAATACAACGATATTTATTGGAACATATATTGTGCCTGGAGTATGATATATTTTCAAAAGAAAAAGCCCATAAAACAAAGAAACATTTAATAAAACAAAAAAATATATCCATTGTTACAAGCTTATAACTGAAAAAAAAACCCACTGGTTATTTTTGAGCTACAATTTGAATGAAGTGCAATACTGTATTTTTTTAAACAAAAATTTACTATCAATAGTAATCTATAGTTTACTATTATAGTTAACTACAGTTTTCTATATTTAACTATAGTAAATACTTTGATCCTTTTGATTTACTATGACACTTTACCCCAGAACTTTTTCAAAGATTTGGAGCCTTAATAATTTTTTAAAATTGAATACCAATCATGTAATTTTTTGAAATAATATGTAAATATACAAGTAATATTTCCTTTTCATTATTCAAGAAAACTACTTGTAGGAATTTAAAAGAATAAAATATAATGATCAGAAATTCAGAGCAAAAATACTTCAATCAACTCTAGTAAAAACTTTGATTTACTATAGTGAAAACTCTGATACTACTGTAAACTATAGTTTACTATAGAACTTTTTTGTGTTAGGGTAGCTTGCTTTTTTCAATACAACATGGAATATAAAAATTTCTCTACTAAAATTATACTCTTTTGTTTTGTCTATTTATGAGAAAAAAATCGCAGTTTTTACCGTATATTTGCAAAGTTAAAGTACATGTATATAAGAGTAACATTAATTAATAAACTTACAATAACCAGAGAAAACTTCAGTTTTCTACCAACTACACGTTTACTAACTAACTACTGTTTGTTTTTAAACTCTTAACAGGAATGTTTAACATTGATCAGTTCGTACAGTGTATATAAGCGACCCTCATGACAATTATACAGAAATCCAAAGCAGACTGAATTTGTTTTCAGAGAATCTTTCAGTAGCCATAATTCTCATTTCTCGAATTAGACACTGTGAGTGCTATCAAGAGAATGTAGCAACCGATCCCGAGGAATACGGAAAGCAATGTTAGTCCCAAGGCCCATCTGGCGGTGCTGCGCCCACCCTCTATGTCTTCATTGTCAAATCTGTCTCTCGCCTAAGATAAAGATATATCATTTTTCAAATAAGTGACGTAGAAAGTGTATTGTTACACTTTTATGAAAAGTGTGAAGATAACAAACAGTGATCAAACTAAAATTTCTTTAAACTGTAAAAATTAGTGAACATGGCATACTTCTGATTGCTTGTATATGCATATGAAATCAAGTTACTCTGATAATTTAATTGGAATAAAAAATACTTACAATAAGTGCCGCAATAATGGCGGGAATCCCAGTCAGAGGGGAACAGAAAAAACATGCCAAAATAGCAGGAACAAGATAATCACTGTGGAATCGTCTTCTGACGAAAAGGACCGAGGGACACGAATTGTTTGTCACCTGAAAAGATACGTTTATTCAGCTTTTGATTATAAGAAGAGAAGAATAATATTTCTAAATCGACAATCAACAAACAAATTCAGAAACTTGTGTTTCCCCCTTTTGGGGCTTTCTTAAAAAGAAAATCAAATTTCAAGATAAAGGACACGATGTCAAAAATCATAAACCATTCGCACATTTTTGTGCATTGTGCATGCTAAATATATAAATGTCCTATCTTCACTCATTCAAAAGTTAGGGCGCTTTTGCGATCTTCGAAAAGTAGTTCAAACTCCAAGGAAAAGATCATGAGGTCAACTGTCATTAAATATTTGGAGAAGTCTTGTCACAGGCAATGTACATTATTTTAAATATGAAAGCCATATCAACTCTCAGTCAGAAGAATGATCTAGTTTAAATTTTTGTGTCTGACAGACAAACAGCTAGACTGACAGACGTAAGATACGAGGGTTGTTCGGAAAGTTCGTGGACTATGCCAATCTTCCTTATACTATCTTCAAGAAATTTAAAATTAGCACATTATCATGTGTAAAAATATTTATTTTGTTTAAGTGTAAAGTTTCATTCTATGTGATTTGATAGAATTCATGTTACAGTGTATTTAATTTTAAAATCAACACGTTTTGTAACCATGGAGCAAACTCCACAACACTGTAACGTCAAAAACATACCGGCACGATCGCGAGGTTCTCAAAAATACTATCCCTATACATTTCACACAGTATTGCCTTATACCAATGCACTCATTAAAAACGTTTCTCTATCAATTGAAATCTATTTTGCTAACAATTGTTCCAGTAGCATCATTTTGTTTGTCAATGCTATATATATATTTTTTCATTGCAAAAGTGTGCTTTCACAAGGAAGCGCCAAACTCTTAGTATGATGTTACTAGCTTTTCAATGTTTTGATAAGATTTTTACACATAATCCGTTTTCTCACAAATCACCATCGTCTAAGTGGAGTAGTCTATCATTCAAATACCGCTTGTACCATGTCACACATATGCATGGCTCACTTTTGACATATTGCCTACTTCCTCCGGCATTTTCAGAGTTTTTTTTCAGGAGTTTTCCAGAGTACAACACAAAATTGTATGGTTAACTGCTGCTCCGTGACGTTCTACGACGTCATCTTTTTTTTTTTTTTTGCCTTTTTCAATGAGGACTACCCATCTTCTGAAGCTGATTTCTTTTCAAAGAAGCAAAATATTAATTAATAATTTGGAATCAGAAACGATGAAACAGTTCTTAATTTGAAAGTGTAGAATTTTTCCGTTTTTGTGCCATTTTACAGAAGACATGACTTCAGACATTATTTAGTGTCTTGATTGTAAATAACAAAATTTTGACCTGCTCCGTGATCCGATTTTCGCATTTTTTTAAAGTCTAAATAAGTTTGATGTAAACCACGATATTTTAAAAAGTTTTTGATACACATCATTTGAATTTACTGTTGAAATATTTCTTCCAAATTTGGATATAATATGATGTTAAGTAAAAAAAGTTATGACGTTAGTCCACGAACTTTCTGAACAACCCTCGTATAATGACCCTGTGCTTTTGCGAAAGTGGGAAAATAAAATACTCTGAGGAATTTGGGAAATTCAATGGTCATATGATGACCAGCCTATTTTGATTAATTGCTGTGGATTTTCTACCACGACGTTTGTTGTCTGGTGATGAGGCTGCTGTACAACAGGAGGTGGGTGACCATAGCCAGGATGAACTGTCGGATAACCTTGACCTCCGGGGTAGCCTTGACCTCCGGGGTAGCCATGAGGGTTAGCTGTGTATGCTGGGGGTGGAGGTTGATTGTATCCAGCAGAATAAGCTGCAACAATAAATAAGCTAGTTTGGTGAAACTATAACCGATAAATTTTTCTTTTAATTAATAGGATAACACTTTAATTTTCTCAACATGGCAGAAAGATTTCATTTATTTTAAACGTTCATACTTGCTGGTTACACCACGTGACAGGAAGTTTTATTTTAGATAGGAACTCTCAGTATTGTTGTATTTTGGATGTTCATGCACTCTACTTAATGAACATTTATGATTGTAGAGACATATCCTTTAAAGGAAGGGCTAATGGGGTAAACTCTGAGTGTGCAAATCTTATTCGGATTTAATGGCAAAGGTATAGTTCTCTGATATGAAAAACACTTACGATTTGGTGGGCCTTGATTTGGAGGATGCTGTCCACCATTTTGGTTATAACCAGCGTTTTCAGCTACAAAAGTTCCAGTAACTTAGTTTTATGTGAACAAATTAATAATAAATAAGTAGACCTCATTTTGTAAAACCCAACACAAGAGAGCATCATCTAACAGTAAAAATCGGATATGTTTTAGCTTGTAAGTTTCAAGTAATTAGATTATCACATACATATACATTTATATGTACATGTATTTAAGCCCTCAGATAATTACATGGACATATGACTTTCCTATTAAAATCTACATTAAAAAAAATAATTTTCAGTCATATACACAAGAATTCATAGATGAAGTTGCCCACAGAAATACAAATTTTGAAACATTTTACTAATTATTAAGTAGCAAAAACTATTTAATCTTATATAATTGGTTATAATTTTTAATCTGAGTGCAATATGCACTCATATTAAGAAATTAAGAATAAAAATATCTAAGATATGATTAACGCAACCTAAACACCGACATTATGAGAGCTAGCACCGGAAGTAGTTTGTATGTATTATTGCATTTGAAGACCTACAGTCGTTTGACCATTTCCAAATTTTGATCAGTTCCGAATAATTAATAATTTAAGAGCTGATAATTAATAAATTCAAAAGTGTAAGCATAAATTCATTCATATGGTATGAAGGCTTATCTATGAGTGTTAGAATTATGTGAAGTTTTGATTTTTTGCCGTCAGTTTGTATTCGGTATCGTATTTGAAACAGGCGACATACTTTTACAATGCAACAAATCTGACGCGTTTGTCTGCAGAAAAACGTCTGTAAAGACGTCAATTTTTCACATAAAACAACATTTCAGCTATCAAAAGTAAGTTTCATATGTATTTTAACAAATACCAAAAGCTTGTCGAAAATAAATAATTAGACAACCGCAAGATGTTGGAATATTTTCGTGTTGTCATTTTACTAGTTCCGAATACCCATTAAAAACATTATATTTTAATTTTCTGTTATTCCTTCATTGTAAATGTGATTGTTATTTCTCTTTATCCTTTGGAAATACCACTTACTTACTGGTAAGCATTTATTTTAACTTTTCCTAGGCATGTCAATTGATAATGTGTGGGACGGATAATTTTAATTTAGGGTCGAATTGCATGGGAACCGCTAAGGTATTTGGAACTCGTCGGCTTATTCGATGAGTACCCGTGTTAACTTGCTAAAATAAAAAAAAGTTTTTTTGAAAGGCTGAACTTTTATGAAACAACATTTAATTCCGCAAGTCATTGAACTACTAATTAGATTTTGAAATAATGCCGTCATATATTTATAGCACCGCCTTATCGGTTCCCTATTCGCAACTGGTCAAACGACTGTATCATAACATGCTTTGAAGTACTTTTTTCTTAGAGGAATTTTAGCAAAGAAATAAATTGCGATCATTACAGAAATGGCATATCTTATAACTTCCTTCTATTTTCTGATATCTATTAGTTTCGATATTTAATTAATGAGAAGAGAACCTCATTTGACAAACTTCAAATGAAAGTTAAATAAAATGAATTTTACAAAAAAAAGTCACACGCAATGTGATTATAAATACAAGAGACACTTAGCTAAATTTTCAAAGTACATGTTCGTATTAAAATCACCAAAGTACATGTCCAAAAATCTCTCCTTGTTTCGATATATAAAATTATAATAGATTAATAAAATCTCGATATAATTGTTAAAGAAGAAAATTAAATTGCATTCTAAACAATTCATCTTTAACATCTCTTGCCCAATAAATTTTAAGTTTAGAATGCAATTTATTTTCAGTATTCATGGAATTATAAGAAGATTTTAAGATACGGCTATTTGTACTAAGTACTTTGTACCAGTGCAATTCTAGTAATAACAAAGGAATATTGATAGTTTGATTAAGCATTAAAAATCTTTTCGGTGAAGAAGACAGTTTTCTTTACAAACATTGAAATTAATGCACCAAGCAATGAATGAATATTATGCTTTTTTGTTGAAAATATATTGAGTAGATGCTTGAAATCATGGGCTCTTCAGCTTTAAAATGTTAATGTACATTGATAGTATATATGCTATCTATGTATATTAACGATATAAGTGAAAGCCATCCCGTGCTGAAATTAATATATAAAATGCTTGTAAGAGAAGGAAATCATGACCAACACTAAAGTACGTACGGTTTGACATTCCTTGGTTTGGAGGATTCCGTCCAGCGTATTGGTCATAACCAGCATTGTATGCTACAAGGAAATGTTTACTTGTATATTTAAACTGAATGCACCGTTCTAACAAAAAAAGGTATAATTTTCGAAAGAATTGAACTGAAACGCTGTTCATGTAATTCAGTGTATATTTTAAGTCTTTCTCCGAGGAAGCGAAAAAAAAATTAAAAAATAAAAGAAAGACAAAAACAAACTATAGTAACCAAAATTTAATGTTTGTATTATTTTTATATGACCTCTTGCAATTCGAAACTGTTCTGTTCATAGATATGGAGAAACAAGTCCACAGTTGAATGATTTTGTATATATTAACTGACATGGAGATCTTGGAATTATTTTTTTTGTCATGGAATCAATTTTTTTGGTTTGTTTTATTACAATGTAACAAGAAGATCCTTATTACAAGAGTAATCATACTTTCTGCTTGATCTTTTTGGGTTGTGAATAATATTGTGATAAACACTGATAAAGAGGCTACCACGTATCACGCTTCATTGACTTTAGCAAAAACGTAAACAACAACCAAACGAAGCTTGGCTAGAAATGTAAATTCTTGATGTGTTTCAACGGCTTAATAATATCATAATTCATTACATAACATACTGTAAATTTATATCTTACCATCTACGCCCGCTGTTTGTCCATTAGAAGCCATATTTCTTTCTATAAAATAATGGAATTTCCTCCTAGTTTCATTCAGTGCCCGGGAGATGTATTTTTAGATATATAACAATAAAGACAAATCACTGAAGCGTGCAAACAGGATGTTTGATTCAAGCTTGTGCAATTTGGGAGTGCACCATGCAGATTTAATGGCATCTTGCCAAATACAAAAAAATGTAAAATAAAGTCTTAACTATCAAATTTAAATATTATTTTCATTGCAACGGAAGTTTAAACATACTCTAAAATATAGAATTAAGAATAACATCAAGCATTGGACATATCAACAATCGAAGATTGATCCAAGTTTTTTCGCTGAAAGGAAAAAGAAATGCATACTTGGGTAAATATATAAAGTTAGCATTTATTACCATTCAACACAATGATAGCCAAATACAATTTCGGGTTATATTTTATTCATGATTGTCATAATAAAGGCATTTTATCGAATCAAACGACATTTAAGCACCGCAATTATTGTCTGAATTTTAAAATTCAAAATTTCGAAAGTCAATATCGTGTTTGTCGTAATCCCGCATTTACAGCAGCTGGTACCATTTTGATCATGGAATTGATCAGATGGTTGATTCTTCAAAAAGGGATGAAATTTCACTCCGCTGCAAGAGCTTGCTTTAGCTCAGTTATTTGTGGCGTGTAAAAGGTTGCATTATTATACTTTTTTGTTATCCCTATTCAAAAATTTTGTTATTCTTATTCTAAAATATATCATTCCTATTCGATAAAATGTGATTCTTATGCTATAAATGTGTTTTCTATTCGATAATTTATCATTCCTATTCGATAAGCTGTTATTTCTATTCGAAAGCATGTGATTCCTTTTCGATAATTTTGTCATTTCTATTCGAAAATTTGTCATTCTTATTCGATAATTAAATGATTTATATTCGATAAACATGTTATTCCTATTGAAAAACATAATTACTTAGAATACAGTTATTGAATAAGAATAAGCGAACATCACATAGGAATGATAAAACAATCGAATAAGAATAACAAGATTATCGAATAGGGATCGTATGTTTTCCAATAAGAATGATATGTTTTTGATTAGGAATAACATATTTATTGCATATAAATCACATACTTATCGAATAAAAATCACAAAATTATCGAATACAGCTGTAGGAATGACAAAATTATCGAATGGGAATAACATGTTTTCGAATATGAATGATATATTTTGGAATATGAATCGTATTTCTTCCAATAGGAATAACAATTTATAGAATAGAAATGACAAATTATCGAATAGGAATCACATTTTATCGAATAGGAATGATATGTTTTAGAATAAGAATAATAAATTCTTTGAATATGAATAACAAAAAAGTATAATAATGCAACGTTTTACAAGCCATAGTTATTGGTGGTGTTTGAAATCAGATTTCGAAATCAAATTCGTCGAGCCATTTCGTCTCAGAATTCCTTTTTTGGAAACAATTCGGGTGACCACTGAGTCCCTACGTTGCTAGCCACAAGGAAATCTCGTTATACGTTGGGAACTGCGTTCTTATGATGTGGTTCTAAAAGGATGGCTAGAGTGCTTTGAGGCCTGCCTCTACGAGACTTTTGCATACAGTTTCCTTTCTAATTCTGGCATTGTGTGTCTAGGGATGTTAGAAACAGTTTCACTTGCACTTCGAAATCTGACCCGAAGTCCTGTTGCCCTCTGATGACGTCCAATTTTTTTGGACAGTCTAAAGCTTCCTGTTAATATGAGTCTACCTTCTAGTCGAGCTACAGTGGATCGGGACAATTTAATTGATCAGCATTTTATTTTCATGGTGTTTTTGCATTAGCAAGGCAATAACCAAACCTCATAGAATTTCTGTAAGGTGTGGCATCTTTTAGGGTCAAAATCTTATTTTATATAAAATTGACATTTTCAAAACAATCATTGGAGATAACAAAAATGGTTCAGCGTATTCAAAATTCTAGCTACATGACTTTCAACCTGAAGCGCAAAGGCAAACTGCAAGTGCTCAATTCGAATACGCCAGAGTCATGCTAGAGTGATTTTCTACTGCATATCCATTTCTGGACATTATTTCGAAATTCCTAACACTAATATGCTACTGTTAATTAAGGATGTTAAACACAGCTTCCAACTTTATTGAATTTTTCTTATACCAGTCACTTTATGCGTGTACCTGGTAGAAATTGGAAAAATTACACAACTTATATTGGAGGAATTGTCATGGCTTTTAATATTTAATTACATTCATAGTTAACATGCTACTCGCATGTTCATGCCCTAGGTGCCGTTCCTACCACTTGTAAACTTTTGGCAGCATAGCATTCACAACTATCCATCAAACCATTTAGAGCTGGGGGACCTGGAGACAACAGTATCGGGCGGGCCGGGCCTCAGAAAATGGTTACTTGTCAAATTCCGCCAAGTGGATTTCAAGCATAATGAAATCCAACCGCCATCGCAGCGGCTGAAATTTGACCACAGCTATAGATACCATTCACAAAATACACACAAATACACAAAATTATTTCACATCATATTTATAAAGCCACAACAGTTCCAATCCCCAAAAATATGTACTTATCAATTTGATGGATAAACAAAACTATTACCACAACTGAATTGCCTAAGAGCAGCCTGCATTGTTGACACAAAAACATGATTGCCTAAGGGAGAAATGTGAACGCCATCATCAAGAAAGAAAGTACTTTGAACAACACTGATGTCAGGATACTTAATTGAAGCACTACCCGACTTTAAAACAAATATAGCAACAGAATTATTAATCCTACATCTTGATTTCTCTGCAGCAACATTTGAAAATGCATGACGCCAATATACCCTAGGCAAAATATGTGACCAGACAATGCATTGTTGCAACCACTAATGAAATAACGACCACTATTGAAATAATTATTTCAATAGTGGTTGGGAGTGCATTTCAAAACCAAACACAGGTTGTAACCACTATTGAAATAACGACCATTATTGAAATAATTATTTCAATAGTGGTTGAGAGTGCATTTCAAAAACCAAACACAGATTGTAACCACTATTGAAATATTGTTCACTATTGAAATAAAATCTTAATAGTGATTGAAATTATGATTTCAATAGTGATTGAAATAATTATTGTAATAGTTGCTGACAATGATTTCAATACCAAAACCGCATAGCAAGCCTTATTGAAATAACCCCAGTATTGAAAATATATTTTTACATATATATTTTGGGATAAATTCTTCATTATGTTTTCCGACATAATAAATGAATTTACTGAGTTTGAAATATGATATGTAATTTTTTTTTTTAATTTCTGTCTAGAAATACTATTAATACACGGATATCTGTGATTTAACTGATCATGAAATTTAAAGTAATTATGTAATATTACGATCATCTTTGCTATTAATTTGGGAAAGTAAATATTATGAATACAGATAGTTGTACGAATTGGAATATCTACATTAAGAAGAAGAACAAAGACATCTATGTGTACAAAATTTCTGATGAAAATATTGTTATTTTTTATCAAAAGGATATATATAGAATAGAAGTAAATTTTTGCTTATTTTCATGGGCTTGCCTGCACTCCAAATACGGATAGTAAACCCAACGTATCTATTCGTCAATACTCGTCGGGAAAACTAAGAATAAGCGTTATAATATTAGAATTGTTATTTCAATAGTGATTACACGTATGAAACCGTTATTGAAATAATATTTGCTATTAAAATAATTATTTCAATAGTGAATATTATTTCAATAGTGGTTGCAACCTGTCTTCAGTCTTGAAATACACCTTCAACCACTATTGAAATAATTATTTCAATTGTGAATGTTATTGAAATAGCGGTTGAAACCTGTGTTCGGTCTTGAAATCCACTTTCAACCATAACTGAAATAATTATTTCAATAGTGAACATTATTTCAATAGTGGTTACAACCAGTGCTTGGTTTTGAAATACATTCTCAACCACTATTGAAATAATTATTTCAATAGTGGTTGCAACAATGCATGTCAAAGGCATAATCAAACTTAACTTGCTGATAACATTTTCATAAATTTTTGTTGTCTTCGTAATGGATTATTATGTTTGGCAATGTCATTACTACCTACTTGGATAACCAGAAACCTTGGATGTGGCATTGTAGAGGACAGGTCAGAGATGATCTCATAGAATTTGACAAAATTCAATCCTAATATTCTCTCCATGACACTGGTACCCCTGGTAAAAAAAAGTCCGTGTCAAATTCTGGAGAACTGAACGCACATTGTTCTGCTCTTTTAATAAGGGATGATCCCACAATCCAGATTAAATCTACAAGATTAAGAACAATACATGAAGCAATGATTACAATCTACATATGAAATTTGAAAACTGCATTTGAATTAATCCAACTCCAATTATAATTTTAATATAAAATTAACAACATTATGACATTGACGTCACCATCATAATATCATTTTTTACATCTAAAATGTAATCAAATCAGGTCTGAGATTATGCTTATATGCATCAGACACCCATCTTCCCTTTCTTTGAATTTCTTGTCCAGATATGCCCGCCAGATATATATATATATATATATATATATATATATATATATATATATATATATATATATATATATATATATATATATATATATATATATATATTTATTGCAGATTCCCTATTAATCAAACAAACAACAGATATTATTTTGCTTGTTTAATTTGGCGCTTCTGGCCGCGGTGATCAATTTGCTGGGGCTACCACAGGGCTGCCCCACAATCAACAATCAATACAACAAATGTGACGACCCAAATCGGGCGGATCATGCACTGGGTAGGTCACAAGTGCATGAACGTCACCAATTCAATTATCAATCAAGTTCAATCAATCAATCAATCAAATTCAATCAATCAATCAATTCAATATCAATCAAGTCAACTGCTTGTCAATTACAAGCCAATGCACAAATTCAAATCCTGAATTTCAATTTACATGTGCAATAGGATAAACAATGGAATGAGCGTAAGAATATGTGTTGCACTCCTCCAGTTGCGTTG